GGTCCTGTCTAATAGCATTCTTTCTAAGTAATAAACTTTAAGTAGCTAAAGCATACCTAATTCAAATCCTACACTATCCTCCCCTTAGCGTCCTAGATAGTGCTACAATTAGTGACTTTGTAGTACTATGCTTTAACTAGCTTCCTTCGCTTAGTGTTATTAAGTGCGCCACTCCTAATCCTAGCGGCAATTAATTATAGTGCGGAGCGTTAGTTTTTGCACTAATAGGGTGCTTTATTCTTAACTATAGCATGCTTATCTTTAGTAACACCCTCTTCTTCTAGTATTATTATCTTAGTGTCTAGAGTCTTATTAAGTTCCTTAAGTAGTCTAGGTAAAGAGTTGCGCAATTTATTTATTACCTCTATATTAGCATCCTATAGTTATAGGCCTACTACTATGTATTAGCTAATAATACTATACTCCTAGTAAACGTTCTCTCCTATCCTTTTTAAGAGCTAGGCGGCGTGTCTTCCTTGTGCTCTTGTTATCCTTTACATAGGCAATTCTGCTAGAGATTCTTCCTCTAAGATATAGGTAGCTAATTTAATTTCTCATAGGGTAGTATCTAGTATGTCCTCTATTCTCTTCTTGTAACTCTATAACTCCCTTGCTATGCTTCCTAACCTTAATAGTCCTCTATTCTAGACCACACTCCTATCTAGTAGTATAGTCTAGGCACGTCTAGCGTAGGATATAGTCCTAGGTAGCTAGTTATAGCCTAGATTCTTAATCTCTTATATTACCCTCTCCTCCTCTGCTTTCTTTTTAGCTACTTCTCTACTTCCTTATAGAAAGCTAGCTAGGATATCTTTAATTTCTTTTAGCACTAGTATCCTATAGTTTATTAATAACCTTATGCCCTCTTTCTACATCTATTTGCTTAGGGGGATTATGCTAAGTAGCACCCCTGCCTAGTTCTCTAACTTCCTGTACTATTGCAGCACTAGGCGCCAAATCCTAGCGTAAGCACTATCCTCCTTTCTATAGCGCATGTTAAAGTTGCGTAGGTTACTTATGCCCTTAAGCGTTAGTCTAGGTAGGGCATGTAGGCCTATTACGTAGTAATAAACAATTGCCCTAACACGTTGCAAGAAATAGTCCTCTAGTTCCTCCTTTACCTTTAAGATAGTATCTACCTTTCCTATTAGCTTAGCAATTATAACTTCCCCTCTCATACCCCCTCAACCACCCCAACTCCCTCACCGCCGTATCCAAGTCCCGACAAGGAGCAAGAAGGCGGGGCAAAAGCGGAGAAATGGCATAAGCTTTGCGAATGAGGGAGTTTGGGATACGGGGCATTTGTGTTGGTTTTATTGGTTAGGGAGAAGAAGAAGAGGAGGAGGCGTGCATGATTTTTTGTTTTGATGTTTGGTGGTGGTTTTGTTCCTAGCGTGCTTGAGAATTGCGTGGGTTGGAACTTTGGATTTTTCATTCTTGCAAAAATTAAAAAACCAAACACAAACAAGGCTTTTTGGGGATCAAGTGAATGGGTGTTGCAATCACATGATATAGATACACAAATATTTGGCAAGATGTTGAGATATCAATGGTGAGATGGTACAAGTTGACAGAATATATTGGATTACATGGTATATTACAGACACCCTTCACTCTTGCCCACCTATTCTGCAGTCAGGGCAGGAGTAACGCCATCAATCCAACATGCCGTCCGTTCAGATCTCTCCGCCCAGCTCAACACCCAAAAACGCCGGTCCTATGTATATACAAATCCTCACATCAATCACGATCCCTGCGCCATGACATCCACATAGCGTCCTCCCTTCTTCTTCTTCGCCCCGGGCCCCTTTCGCGCCTGCGGTGCGCCCAGCAAGTCATCAATGCTACTTGCATTGCTCATGCTCGTGCCAGGCCGCGATGGCGGACCGGATGCGGCTCCAAATGAGGGTCGCGCAAGGGCAGGAGGCTTGGGCGGCCCTTCGACATCGGATCCCATGTCGTGTAATCCTGGCGTCGACGCTCTCGATCCAGGAAGCGCCATACCAGGCGGCATCGACGAACTCCGTTGAGGTTCGGGATTGGAGGTTGGTGGTCGCATTGGGCCACTGGGGGGACCCATGGGTGGTGCTGCACTGCCGGAGGCGCTGCGGGACCCAGCAGGACTGCTACGTGGAGGTGGTGGCGTGGCTGCGGTCTTGGTCTCTGTTGCGCCGCCCTTCTTGTTCACCCACTTTTTGAGTTCGGGGTCGTAGACGAAGCTGTTCTCTTCACCCAGTTTGGCCTTGATGGGCCCAGGTCCTGCAGCGGCGTCCTTCTTGAACCAGCCTCCGAACCAGCCTCCTTTCTTTCCACCACTTTCCTTGTCACGCTGTGCATCTGCTTCGGCGGCCTTACGGAAGGCTTCATCAGCTTTCCTATCAGCTTCGGATTTGCCGCCGCTGATCTTGAGGGCTGAAGCGCGTTTCGCGAGATCATCATCGTCATCATCCATGTCCATGAAGGACTTCTTCTTTGATAATGCCTGCTTTTGCTGATCTTCTCTCTCATCGTCGTCGTCCGGATTGTAGGGCTGGTATGAGGGCGGTTCAAAGGTACTCGAAGGTGGCTCATACCCACTGTAGGACTGTCCATCTGCTGCGGACGCTGGCTCATCGAAGCTTGCTCCAGGTTGGAGGAAATTCTGTCCAGGAGTCGACGCTGACTCTCCTACTGGGGGCGTGGGCATGTAGGGACTGCCGTATGAAGGCTGAGACATGTTATGCTCAGCTCGAAGAGGGGAGTAGGATTGCGCCTTGGCTAGCCCACGAGGGGGGCTTAGTTGGGACTGCGTCGGACTGTATGGACCCAAGCCGGGTGTTGATGGCGAGTAACCCTCAGATACAGTACGCATGCCTGTGCCATCTACAGAGTCTAAAGAAGGTCGACCGCCAGGTTCATAGCGAGATCGGTGTTGTTCTGATGATGTTCTTGGCGCATAGGCGTTCGATGGTGCATATTTTGAGTTTCCGACAGCGGACTGGGCTGGCGCACCGAAGCCAGCATAGGCGGCATAAAGATCTGAATTCGACTGAGAAGGTGTTGGTCCTTGACTGCCACCGGCAATCTTGGCAAACGGCCCAACTTCGCCGCCTCCTTGACTGCTCGTTGCCGCATCCTCTGCGTCACCAGCAATGAAGCTGTTGAACTTGGATAGTAACGAACTGCCAACCTTGTCCATACTAGGCTTTGAAATCCATGATGAGGACCCATCCTTGGGGGACTGTGATAGACGCTTGCTCAAGTCGTCCAGGCTAGCGATGAAGCTTGCACTGTAGTATGGAGAAATTCTCGTCGTCGCTTTCATCGCCGCTGCAATAGCATCACAGTATGATTGTGCCTCTGTCCGGTATCCGTATTCAGCCAACTGATATGCATGTGCAAGTTTGTAATTTTGCAGATGCGGAAGGATATGTGCACCCCCTGGCAACGACAATGACATGGCAAATTCGAACACTTCGGTGAGCAAAATGGGTTCCAGATCAATACCAAGCTCCAACGGGTTTTTCCGATGATCAGCACCAATCAGAACGAGATCGGCCTGGGGATCATCAACACCGCTGATGTTCAATATAGAACGGGCGAAGATGAAGCAGATATGCGCAGCTTCGATACGATCGTACTGCGCAAGAAGCCGACCCAGAGACAGCAGTGCCGCTGCATCGCCCTCGCTACGATTGTTCATGATCAAGGCGACAGTCTGGCGCCATTTTTCCAGGCCCTGCAAGGCATTCTGTGTAGCTCCAGCCCCATCAGCGCTGACCATTTGAAAGCCTGCGCGAGCCGATGCAGGGACAAGTTCGTCGATACAATCTTGATGGTTGCCTGCGAAGACTTCGTACAAAACAGCCAGTGCTTGGTTGCTCTGGCCAATCTTCTTGACTTCCTTGCGCACAAACTCTTGCACAACCTGCTTCCAAATATCTTTGCTCAAGGTGGATGACAAGAGCATGGCGTGACCCCATAGTCGTTGGTCGACCGCGTGCCAAACAGCCTTCTCTCGGTCACCCTTGATGAGCATGTTTTGCAGAGCCTCGACGGCTCTCGGGTCAGTAGGCTCTGCCTGGAGACTGGAAGTATTTGATCGTGGACGTCCAACAATGTCTGCAGCTGTGGAATAAGATGGCTCCACATCCGCTGCATTTGGATCTTCTGGTGCAAGAAGTTTCTTGACCGTAGCTTCCGCAGCACTCCCCTCAAGTCGGCCATCGTGCTCCACGAGGGTAGAAAGTAGTTTCCAAAGAAGTGCTCGGTCTTCCAGACGTTTGATATCGGCCTCGGTCGAGGAGTGTTCCAATGCCGGATCTTTAAGCTGCGCCTCCAAGGACTCGGTCTTGCGTCCCAACCAAGTCAAGATTTCCTTTTTCTTGCTTTTAGACTTGAGCGGTCCAGGGAACTTGGCAATATCCTGTGTCAAGGGCGATAGATCCTTGACGCTCTGTAGTCTAATTTCGCCAGGACTACATTTCATCATCGGTGCTGATGCACCACCCCCGTATCTAGGAACCTGTTTGGGGAAGCTTGTGACTACAGTGCCACCCAGACCCCAAGTGAAGACTGGATGACCTTTCCATCGCTGCAGTGGGTCGTTGGCGCGTTCATCCTCCGGGACTATGCAGTCGTAATCCAAGAAAGCTTGTTGCCGAGGAGGAATAGTATTGATTATGCCAGAAGCAAGAGAATGCATGCTCTGAGTGGTAGTCGGAGGCATGAACCCGTACGCGCTGTTGGAAGGTTCCGAAGCTGACAAAGTTCGAGGGGGCTGCTTGAAGTTCGATGTAGGCGACTGAGTGATGGCGTGTTGTTGTTCTGGTATAGTCGTGGGTGGATAGGTTGGAGCGTAGTTGCCACGCTTCCTCGGCGATCCAGTCGCTGAAGATGGCGAGCTTCGCAGAGGAGGCGTTTCCGACCTTCCCGTAGTGCCCGTAGGGGGTCGGGAGCTCAATCCTGCATCCGCTTCCTCGAGTTCACTGACGTCGCCAAGCGGGCTTTTGAACGGAGGACGAGGTACACCGTCTGCTGATTGTGTAACATAATGAGCAGGAGTGTAGTTGTTCTCGGATGCCTTGTCTTGCTGTTGGGAGGTAGAGTGGAACGCCAGCGGACTAGATGTACGAGGTGCAAAAGGCTGTGAGGGAGTGCGGTGCATATTCGAGTGCGGTTCCGACACATATCGAGCGTGAGTTTGGCCATGAGGTGCCGATTGGGGCGCGGGAGAGTAGCGTGAATTCGGTGCAATGGCATTTGGTGGTGCGGGGGAGTATCGAGGATTGGCAGATGGCAGCGTGGAAGGTGGTACAGGAGAATATCTTGCCGTGGGGGGTGCTTGCGCTGATGGTGGTACCGGGAGGCTGTTGGTTCTTGTAGGTACGGATGGCTGATTTGGGAACATGGGAAGCTGTTCAGGCTGTCTAAGTGGAGGGGCGGTAGGTCCTGAATCAGGATGGAACTCATTGCGTAAACTTGACCATGAAGCTGTGCGTTCCTTTAGAGGAAATTGGGGAGGTGCATGTTGTACTGGAGGCGGAGCAGAATTTTGAGCAGGCGGATGCACAGGTTGTTGAGCAGGGTTGTTCGGCTGTGGTGTATAACGCCCCGATGGCCTTGGTTTGGTCGTCACAGGCAGTTCAGCGAAGAAATCACTCGAAGGGGACTTGGACGGTGGGACGACCTGGTTGGGGACAACAGCTGGCAAGCCTGTCACGGACTGCGTCGAATTGGCGGATGGTGGTGGGGATAGGCTTGCTGCAGACATGTTCGATGCAGGGACAGGCCGAGGTGGTCCTGTGATCGACGACACGCTACTAGTCCGGGGCGGTGGGTGAGCAGGAGTAGCTGTGACGGCGGTTCGTGGCGCTGGTCGTTTTCGAGTCGTGATGATATCATCTGGCAGGTCATAAGGCGAGGCATAACCCCCTTTAGACTTGTCGACGAAACTTTGAGCTGAGCTGGGCATGGGTGGCCGAGGCGGCTGTTGCTGGTAGGCTGTATTTTGACCGAAGCCATTGTACGCCGGTACAGCTGGGCTCCTCTGTTGTGTCTGTGGTATGCTGGCCATCTGTGGACTCTGGGGGGCATATGGGTTCGTTGTCGACGAGGGCTGAGCAGCCTGGGGCGCATATCGGCTTGCACCACTCGATCCTGGGGTAGCAGGCTGCACAGGCTGTGGTACTGCCTCCGAGGTGTCTTCTTCGAGAAAGCCATCGTCGTCACTCAACTCAAACACCGGCGCCTCTGTTGTCTCGGGTAGGAACTCATCGTCTAGATCCAGATCCAGATCCCACTCATCTCTGGTAGTCGAGAAAGTTCCTTGGTCCACCACATGTGCTCCAGGGGTGACATCTTGGTCCTGTGCGGGCTCAACGGTCTGGTTAGCCGCACTTCCAAAGAAGTCCTCTCCTTCTCCTGTGTTGCCCCAATCCATGTCTTCGCCTGCGTTTCCTCCCACATTTGTGTTTCCAATCATGTCGTCCCCGACTGTGGTGCCCACTGCTTCTGCTACCGGTGTCTTGAGGGGAGCCGCGTGTAGTTGCTGGCCAAAGTCAAGGGCCTCGCCTGAATTGCCCCACTCATCTGCTTCGCTATCGGCTACGAGAGGAGCCTGGACATTGTCTGTCATGGCCTCTTCCAAGGCTGATGTCTCACCCTGGTGTTCATAGTGTTCGGCCGGGCGCTCCTCTTCCTCTTCAGAGCTCTCCTCACTGCTCTTCTCATCAGAACCCTCCTCTTCGCTCGATTCGGCCTCCGACTGGTCGTTGATGTCGAGAACAGTGGTGGCAGCGACCAAGGAATCGTCCTGGCTGTTATCGACGGCACCTACTTTCGCAACGGCTGATGGTGGGGGTAGAAAACTTTGGGAGGTTTTGTCGTTATTGGTCTGCGCAGGAGAGTCGTGATTCGCACTGATCTTGTCGCCCAATGTGTCCTTGTTGGGAGGTGCAGGTTGCCGCACCTCTGCTGGAGTTTCGTCCTCTTCGCTTTGCTCGTCACTTTCTTCCTCGCTTTGCTCCTCCCCTGCTTCATCCTCTTCCGACTCTTCCGACTCTTCCGAATCGTCTTCGGTTTCGTCCTCGGAAGATTCAGAAGCCGACTTCGCGGGTGGCTGTGCAATGGGCGCGGGACGGACGTCCTTCTCGCGGCGCAAGGCGGGATTCCATGAGGCGGACCCATGGCTGGCTGCGTCGACCGACTGGGCCGCGGGTTCGCCTGCCATTTTGGCGGGAGGTAAATTACAAGGCAATAAAAAGGGTATCTACAAGTACTGTGGGGCAATCAGTGGTGTTGTGGCGATAGGGTGTGCCGACTGCAGGCTGATCGTATGGGGGCGGGGGTTGTTGGGGCCTGCAATGATTGCGTGTGGACTGGGCGACGGAGCAGGGCGGATGGCCAAGCCGTATGCAGTAGGATTACGAGGGAGAAGGGAGAAAGGAGTATGGGCGATGCAGCTGCTGTGGGAGCAAAGGGGTCTTCGAGTCGTGGTGAGGGAAGTATGGTGTATGTGTGTACATGAGGGTAGCGCATGCTTGATCCCTTTCGGTGCTAAAGACGGGGCGAAAAGAAGACGTAACATACCTTTTACAGGAGAAGCAAAGGCTGGCAAGAGAGGCAGGTTTCCGAGCGTGGAGGAGGCGCACAAGGCAGAAATCAAGAACAGAGTGCAATTCCAGACTGCATTATGCGCAAAGAAAAGAAAAAAAGGGCGGTACGGTGCTATGGTTATGCAATGGTCGGAATGTTGTGAGAGAAGAGAACTGGCCAGTTGTTCCTGGATCGAGCCCTTGGCGCCATTCTCTCTCCACATGGAGAGTCTGGAGAGAGTATAGTCTACTAGTTAACTCGGCTGGTTTGAGGATCACGTTACTTGTCTTGTGCCATCAAAATAGCCAGGATGTAGCAGTGGCAAATCACATGATACTCAAACCACCCGGGCGCATGAGTTAGTCTACTAGAGCACTCTAGTGTAGAACCGAGTTCCAGCGAGGCTAGTCTACTTTTGGGAAGTCTGTCCCTCTGCACAAGCTTGCAAGCCACATAGCACGATTCATAGCGCCACACGCGCGACTCACGCGCCACACACCCTCTCTTTCTCTCTCTCTCTCTCTCTCTCTCTCTCTCCACTAGTCTCTCCCGCTCTCCCGAGCTATGCCTAGTGACGAGTGACGCGCAAATTGTCGCAGGCTGCCAGCCCAGGCGCAACATGTATATAGTACCTCCCAGTAGCTACTAATAATCCTGCCACGAGCCACGAAACAATCACCGCACAGTCTCGCCCACACACACACACACACACACCCCCTTCATCCATCTTCTACCTTCTGCCTACCCTGGCCTGCCCTCTACCCTCGTCATGGCCGTCTGCGCACTCGAGTGAACAGAGTCTCCACTTGTACATGGGAGTATCAAAGTCTATACCACCACCACCATTCCCACAAACTGTCCCCTCCCCTCCCCTCCCCTCCCCCAATCAACTGCCCAGCGCCTGCATTCAGCCTTCACCTACCCCCGAACCGCCGCAGACTCCCGAAAGACACATCCATGAAGTGGTGATAGCCTTTTGCCGTCTACTCTGTGCACTGCACGCATGAGGCATGGCTACCCCACATCAATACCACCAGCCCAATGCTCCAGACTCGGACGACTCGGACCTGGATCTCGCTCTCGAAGAACTGGACCCTCTGGCTGCGACCGCGACCACGACCACGACGGCCTCGACAGCCACCCCAACCCACCGCCAGCCCACCGAACAAAGACGACCCTATCATGACTTGGGCGCAAGGATACCACTGCGAAACCTTAGGGTAGGAAGGTTGCGGGGAAATCGGAGAAAGGAAGAGCCGCAGGAGGAGGAGGACCTGCGAGGCTTGCTAGACGAACACGACACGCCAAAGCGAGATTCCGCTGGCAGTTCTGCACAATCTGCAGACGACGATGCCCCTCTACTACCATCTCATAACATGCGGCTGAGAAATCGCCCGCCTCCTCGCGCTCTCTCTAGGCTAGGCTCCAACATTCGCCTGCCTAGCTTTCTCTCTCGTAACCACAATTCGGCCATACAGCTGGGCGAGCAAGGAGCAGAGTCAGATGCAGACGAGGAACACGACCCGACTACGCAGAGGACGATCGCTGTCGGCCAGCCTCAGTCCTCCAAGTTTCCCGCCAACGCTGTCTCCAACGCAAAATACACACCATGGAGTTTTCTCCCACGAACCCTGTACAATGAGTTCTCCTTCTTCATCAACATGTACTTCTTGCTTGTCGCTCTTTCCCAACTTATACCCGCCTTGCGACTCGGCTACCTTTCAACCTACATTGCACCTTTGGCCTTTGTCTTGACCATCACGTTGAGCAAGGAAGCCTTGGACGATATCGCGCGACGGCGGAGAGATGCAGAGGCCAATTCCGAAGGCTACACGGTACTGATGTTTGAGGAGAACGGGGCTGGCAACGGCATGGCGCCAGGGAAAAGCTCGCAGAAGAAACGACGGCTAAGAAAGTCGTGGAAAGAGGGAGGTCGTCTAGCAGACATGGACCAGGAGGAGCAACGGCTATCTACCAAAGGTCTCGCGACGTGCACTTATTGGGAAGTCGTTAAGCCTTCGAGGAATTTAAAAGTGGGCGATGTGGTCAAGCTTGGTAAAGATCAGCGAGTACCTGCGGATATGGTCCTTCTGAAGACATATGCTACCGAGAACAGTACTGCGGTTCTGGAGCCTGTGAGCCCCAAAAGATCGCCTCTGATAGACCAAGATTCGACAGGCGATGAAGAGCCAGCCAAAGTCGAGGCTACCTTGGCTTCAGGAACCTCTGGCGAAGCCTTCATACGGACAGACCAACTGGATGGCGAGACCGATTGGAAGCTGCGCCTGACATCGCCTCTTACACAAAACCTAGATGTTGGAGAATACACCCGGCTCCGTGTGGTCGCTGGCAAACCTGACCGAAAGGTCAACGAGTTCTACGGAACCGTGGAGCTACCTCCCAGGACCCAACGCCACTACGATCCACATGAGGATGAACGGCCCTCTTCGTCAGACGAGAGTCAGTCAGCGCCTCTCAATATCGACAACACCATTTGGGCAAACACCGTGGTAGCCTCGAGTTGTAGTCTACTTGCCGTTGTCGTCTATACCGGTCCGCAAACTCGGCAAGCTCTTTCTACCTCACCTTCACGATCCAAGACAGGCTTACTGGAGCTGGAAATCAACTCGTTGACAAAGTGGCTGTGCATCTTTACACTATCACTCTCCTTCATCCTGGTGGCAGTGGCCAAGTTTCGGGTCATCGATGGCCGGCCGTGGTATGTTTCCATGATGAGATTTCTCATCCTGTTCTCAACCATCGTTCCCGTCGGTCTGCGTGTCAATCTGGACATGGGCAAGTCTGTCTATGCGTGGTTGATTGAGCATGATCAAAGCATTGCAGGGACGGTGGTCCGGACGAGTACGATACCCGAAGACCTAGGTCGTATCGAGTATCTTCTAAGTGACAAGACGGGCACTCTTACTCAAAATGGTTTGTACAATACATGTCTACAGGTGCGCATGACTGACTAGCCCCCAGAGATGGTCATGAAAAAGATACATGTCGGAACGGTATCCTACGCCAACGAGGCCATGGATGAAGTCTCATCCTATGTGCGCCAGTGCTTTACTGTTCCTGCGGGAGAGACTCCCACCATGGTCACTCCATCTTCCGCATATACCGCTCCATTGACCTCGGCTACTCGTACACGACGGGAGATTGGGTCTCGTGTGCGTGATGTTGTGCTAGCACTAGCATTGTGTCACAACGTCACCCCTACTATTGAAGAGGAGAATGGCGAATCCATCACCACGTACCAAGCATCCTCCCCGGATGAGATTGCCATTGTACGCTGGACTGAGGCTGTTGGCCTCAAACTTCTTTCCCGCGATCGGGAATCCATGACTCTACAGTCATGCGAGAGTGGCAATGCAGTCGTCAAGGTGCGCATACTCACCGTCTTCCCCTTCACATCAGAGGGGAAACGCATGGGCATCGTCGTGAAGTTTTACCACGGACCAGAATCCTCTCCGTCTGAAGATGACGGCGAGATTTGGTTCTATCAGAAGGGCGCCGACACCGTCATGACGGCCATTGTTGCTGCCAATGACTGGCTAGACGAAGAAACTGCAAACATGGCGCGCGAAGGTCTTCGAACACTGGTCGTGGGTCGCAAGAAGCTGTCTGCGCAGGCTTACCAGGACTTCTCGATCAAGCATGCGCAGGCTTCGCTAGCTCTCAACAACCGTGATAGCGCCGTCGCCAATGTTGTCAAGGAGTACCTCGAGCACGATCTAGAGCTCCTTGGTGTCACAGGCGTTGAAGACAAGCTCCAAAAAGACGTCAAGCCTTCTTTGGAACTCCTCCGCAATGCAGGAATCAAGATCTGGATGCTGACTGGCGACAAAGTCGAAACCGCACGCTGTGTTGCCGTCAGCTCGAAATTAGTAGCACGAGGCCAATACGTGCACACCATTGCAAAGTGTTAGTCCCTGCTTTGACCCTTCCCACTTGCAATACTAAATAAGACGTCACAGTGAAGCGCAAAGATCTCGCCCATTCCTCTCTGGACTTCCTCCGCGGCAAAACCGATGCCTGCCTCCTCATCGACGGCGAGTCCCTCGCCCTCATGCTAACCCACTACCGGCAAGAATTCATCTCCATTGCCGTGCAACTCCCCACTGTCGTCGCCTGCCGCTGCTCGCCCACGCAAAAAGCCGACGTCGCGCGCCTGATCCGCTCCTACACGCAGAAACGGGTGTGCTGCATCGGCGATGGCGGCAACGACGTGTCCATGATCCAAGCCGCCGACGTGGGCGTCGGCATCGTGGGCAAAGAAGGCCGGCAAGCCAGTCTCGCCGCCGACTTCTCGATTGAGCAATTCTGCCACCTGGTCAAGCTGCTGGTCTGGCACGGCCGCAACAGCTACAAGCGCAGCGCCAAACTGAGCCAATTTGTCATTCACCGCGGCCTCATCATATCCATTTGCCAGACGGTCTACAGCATCGCGTCGTCGTTTGAACCCAACCCGCTGTACAAGGACTTCCTGCTCGTCGGCTACTCCACAATCTACACAATGGCCCCCGTCTTTTCCCTCGTCCTCGACCGCGACGTCGACGAGAGCATGGCCAATCTCTACCCAGAACTCTACGCCGAGCTCAAGACGGGTCGCAGCCTCAGCTACAAGACCTTCTTCGTCTGGGTCGCCGTCTCCCTCTACCAGGGCTCCATCATCCAAGGGCTGTCCCAGCTCCTCATCGGCGTAGGCTCTAGCTCCGCCACGCCGAGCGACCCGCTCTTCCTCCGCATGGTCAGCGTTTCCTTCTCGGTGCTGATTGTCAACGAGCTCGTCATGGTGGCCATGGAGGTTACGACGTGGCATTGGATCATGGTGGCCAGTCTGCTTGGTACTGCGGCCTTGTATTTCGGCTCCGTCCCCTTTCTCGACGGCTATTTTGATCTCCCGTTTGTGGCGAGCTTGCCGTTTTGGTGGAAGGCGGGGCTGATTGCGGGGGTCAGTCTGTTGCCCCCGTATGCGGTGAAGATTGTGAGGAGGAGGTGGCGGCCGCCGAGTTATCGCAAGGTTAGGGCTGTTTAGGGGGGTTGTGGGTGGGGTGGCGGATGGGTGTGTTGGAGAGGAAGAAGAGGGGAGATTGTTTGATTGCAAGCGTATCCCATGGCGTGTGTAAATTCTATGACATTTCCTATCCTTTCCCATTCCATCCCCTCCCAAGCTGGAATTGATGGGAACTGAAAACTAAACACAAATGTGCTGCTGCGTTTGACCAAGAGTATGGCTATGGTTATGGGATACCGTCGTTTAGCGTACAGCCTATACTCAAACTGTACAACACTGAAGAGGAATTCCTCACGCCATCGCACCCGTTTGATCTTTCTGACCACAGACACGGATGAAACGGCGATTCGTACCTCGTGCATTCATTGCTTGATCCTGTTGCCCTTGACCTCCTCCCCGCCTGGACGCTTTATATACTGAATACATTCATAGATGGGGGTGGGATATGTTGTATGCGAATGTGAAACGAGGTTGTTTTTGGAAATTGGGGAAAAGGGAGAGGGAGAGGGAAAGAGGGAAGGAGAGGAGGAGAGGAAGAGGGGGATGGAGAAGGAGAGGAGGAGAGGAGGAGGGGGATTGAGAAGGAGAGGAGGAGAGGAGGAGGGGGATGGAGAACGCA